ATCTCAGTTCACTTTCAACCTTGTCTCTTGATACAACCGTGTTCATTCTTATCTCTTTCATCTTCTTTCGACATTTTGCTTCCGCCTTCCGCCGCGCGCACTCTGCCATTCAATCTCCACCTCCAAATCGAACAACCGACAACATGGGTATCAGAGACTTTTTCGACAGCCGCTTCTTTGAGCATAGCTGGAAGAACAAAGTCTTCATCCTTCAGGTCGTAACTGTTACTATTGCCTTCATTCTCGGTATCGCCAAGGTTGCAACAAAACCATCTGGCATCCCGATGACAAGATCCGACATCATGGCCATAACAATGGTGGGCTACCTTCGGTCTCCTGTCAGCACATCATGAACTAATCTCACGTTTTCGCAGAGTCTCAAAACTTATGCTTTCCTTGCCTACGAATACCTCACGCAAAAGATAGACAAGTTCAAAAGATTCGGAAGCCTCAAGGCAAACGCGATTCTGAACACCATGGACATCGTCTTCTGGGCGGTCGTGATGGGCTTGGCTTTCAATATGGCTACTAAAGTATGCATCGGTGCGAACTGTGCAATTGGTATCTTGGTTGGACTGGTAGCGTTGATCGTTACGTAAGTTGCTTTACCTCAGACTCATAAGGAACTGGCTGACACTTCGCAGAATCATCAATTTTTGGGCGGCTGTTATTGCTTGGAAGGATCACAAGTACTTCAAGCGCAATGGCGTCCGGCGTGGCCATGGTGAGAAGTAAGGCGCTCAGTCTGGATGGATGACTCCATTGATGAACTGAGCTACTTGTTTGGTTGGTGCTGTTGACTCGTTGAGGGCACACAAAGGTCCATTCTAGGCCTTGTTTAGTGGGTGATGTGGGCGATGGAAAGAAAAGTGTTATGAGAAAAATGAGACTTTGAGATACACGATAGACAAAAAATGATGTAGAGAACCCTAGACCATACTTTACGCAAAATCAAAGACTGTATTGAATGACTTAGTTAATAGGTTGATGAGCGCTTTCATGCTCGAGCCCTTCCGTATATTACAGTCAACAGCTATGGCTTTTAGCTTGCATCGCTTTTGTGTCGAAACTTTTAGATATAACTCTATTATAAAATGCTACGTTTTGATTATAGAAATAGTCCTCAATAATCTCTTGCTAATAATTTTAAATTTACCTATATGGAAGAGACTGAAGTGAAGGTTGTAATTATTAACATACCCTAAACTTAGCTGGAAAATGTTTTCGGACATACCAGTAAAAAGTGTTGTGAGTCCTACATAAGAAGCCATAACTAAAGGGGTCTAGCGTGAAGCGGGAGCCGAGTCAAAGGCGGCTCAGCACCGACATTCTTGATACGCGTATTCACTGTCTCCACATTGTACCCGCCATTCACACGCACTGCCTCATAAGGCTTGGGCAGCTTGGCTCACGTAACTCGACACTGATCAATGGGATTCTCTTCCGATTGATCGAAACACGCATGTATATCCGATCGGAGAATTAATTTCAATATTTCTCGTAAATTAACTTTTCCTGAAATCACCATTTTACCCGAGAATTTTGTCTTGATGATGGTCCTGAGACTTCGTTGGAGTCATGAGTCGGATTTTCGTGTACGAGTGTTTCTTGTGATACGCGTATTTGGCGATAGCGTCGTCTCGGCCATTCCGTTTTTCGCAACCAGTCAATTAGCTGCTATGTTTCGCGGTCGGATTTCTTATAACATGGCGTCTCGCCGCCCGACAGCTGAGAATATTCTTCATTACTTCCAAATCTCCTCATCCTTGATTGACTTGAGCCGATATGTCTCCAACACCAGATGACGACCAATCTAACCGGCAGACGAGATATTTCGAGCTCCCAGCAAATGGCGAGCATAGTGCCCAACTACCAGATGAGCTTCCGCCCTACCAAGCACTAGCGGAATTAGAAGCCACGACGACTGGTCGTGAAGATGGACGAATTGATATTGACCTCAGTTCGAGAATAGCGCGGCGACTCTCGAAACTGGTTCCAACGGGAAAACCTCCCATTTCTTATGGACAGAATCAACCTCCTGCGTACACCGAGACAAGCGAAAAGAGCATTCGCCTAAATATCGTCATTCAGGTCGTTGGTAGTCGAGGCGATGTTCAGCCGTTCGTCGCGCTAGGTACAGAATTGCAGCGCCATGGTCATCGGGTGCGACTTGCGACACACGGCCAATTCGACAAATTCGTGAGGGAGTCAGGTCTTGAGTTCTTTTCCATCGGCGGTGATCCCGCTGAGTAAGTCCCCCAGAACCATTTATCGACGCAGCTAACGTCTTTGTAAAGGCTGATGGCCTACATGGTCAAAAACCCTGGTCTCTTCCCTAGCATGAAGACACTACGCGGAGGCGAAATCCAGCGGAAGCGCAAAATGGTGGACGAAATGCTGCACAAGTGCTGGAGTTCCTGCATCGAGCCTGATGAACTCACAGGGCGACCTTTCGTTGCAGATGCCATCATTGCAAATCCGCCTAGCTTTGCGCATATTCATTGCGCGCAAGCCCTCGGCATCCCGTTACATCTGATGTTCACGATGCCATGGACGAGTACGAGAGAGTTCTGTCACCCACTTGCGAATCTGAAGGCCAATGGGAGCGAAATGTCGGCGACGGCTGCGAATTATGTGTCTTATTCGTTGGTTGAGTGGATGACTTGGCAAGGGTGAGTTTTGATGCATTGCCCAATGATGCCAGTTTGCTGATTGCAGATAGACTCGGCGATATCATCAATGCGTGGAGAGACACCATAGATTTAGAAGCGATTCCCTTCAGTGAAGGGCCTTGCTTGACGGAGACCTTGGGGGTTCCAGTCACATACTGCTGGTCTCCAGCTTTGGTGCCCAAGCCAGCCGACTGGCCCGAGAACATTGGTATGTCTCTATCCCCGCCCTTACTAACCACTCGCTGACAATATCCATGATAGATGTCTGCGGCTTCTTCTTCCGCGATGCGCCAAAATATCAACCTGAGCCAGCTTTGCAGCAGTTCTTGTCAAGCGGTCCGCCACCGATATACATCGGCTTTGGCAGTATCGTAATCGACGACCCCGACAAGTTGACATCGACAATTCTGGACGCTGTTCGTGCGACAGGGACACGGGCAATTGTTTCTAGAGGATGGAGTAAGCTTGGAGGTGATTCACCGGGTGACGATCAAGTTTTCTTTCTGGGAGATTGTCCGCACGAATGGCTATTTCAGCACGTCACTGCAGTGATACATCATGGAGGAGCCGGCACCACAGCTTGCGGGCTTCTCAACGCGAAACCCACTACGATTGTGCCCTTTTTTGGAGAGTAAGTCGCCGTCTTCCTAAGCTTACGGCTTATGCTGACCGTGGTGATTAGTCAACCGTTTTGGGGAAACATGGTCCACGCTGGTGGTGCAGGTCCAGCTCCCATTCCTTTCAAGGCCCTGAACAGCAGTAACCTCGCCGAAGCCATCCTCTTCTGTTCGACACCCGAGGCTTCAGCAGCTGCACGACAAATCGCCGATAAGATGTCAAGTGAAGCTGGTGTCAGGCGCGCCGTGGCATCCTTCCATGCGAACCTACCTCTCAACGCTATGCGATGCGACCTTCTACCCAATCATTCTGCAGCATGGATGTACGATAAAAAGGGGAAGAAGATAAAGCTGTCCAAGATAGCTGCTGAGATATTAGTCGAGGATGAGAAAGTGTCTTGGAATAACCTCAAAGCGTAAGTTACAAGGCGACAGGCACGGTGAGAGTTTGCTGACCTTTTCCTAGTTACCAACCACAACCAGTTCATATTGAGAACCGTCGCTGGGATCCGTTGACTGCAACACTTGCGACGCTCGCCACGACTAGTGTTGGAATGGTTACATCAGCCTCTGACATCGTCGTCAAGCCCATCCAAGCACTGCGGCCAGTGACTCCAAGTGGTAGCAGATCAGCAAGTCGAGATCAATCGGGGAACAACTCGAAACGCCCATCGGAGGAGGATGTCTTCGGCCGGCCAGCAGGCATAGATCTGTCCTCAGCACCAACAGCCACCAAAGACAAAGACCCCCAACATGGTGCACTAGCAGCCGTCAAGGGCTCAGCGTCGGGTGTCGGTGGCTTCTTCAAGCACTACTCCAAAGGCATGCTTCTCGACCTCCCCTACGCAGTAACAGAAGGAATGCGCAACGCCCCCAAGCTCTACGGCGGCAAGGCATACGACCCCGGTGCCGTCACAGATTGGAAGTCAGGCGGCATAGCAGCCGGGAAGAACTTTGCGCACGGTATGGTGGAGGGGATAGGCGGTATCGTCATGGAGCCTGTGCGGGGAGCGAAGAAAGAAGGCGCTGCGGGTGCTGCAAAAGGTGTTGGTATTGGGTTGTTGAATCTTGGGACGAAGGTGGGTTCTGGGGCGCTTGGGTTGTTTGCTTTGCCGAGTCAGGGGGCGTACATGAGTGCGAGAGCGCTTGTGAAGAGGAAGACGGGGAAGAGTATTATGGAGGCGAGGAAGATTGAGGGGAGGGATGCTGTTGAGAGGAGCGATGAGGCGGCACGCCAAAAGGACAAAATGGGGGCATTAAAGGAGTTCGAAAAGCATCTGGGGGAGATGACGAAATAGATATCTGGAAGTTCTAACTGCTAGATCCACTGTAGTTCATAATGAAGAGTTCATGTAACCACTGTCCAAGTTTAAATGTAGGAGCTAAGGGGATCGGCCAGCGCCATGCGCTTGAGAATACAAAGAATGCCGAATTAACGCGAAGTGACCCAGATAATCGCGAATAGAGATATTATTAGCAACCTAAATTGACTAACTCTATGTGGTTAGTCGGATGCATCATGCATGTCTCACCACATTGAAGCCCAACGAGGCTGGCGCTTAGGAAACTCATCAGATCATGTTGCTTCCACCCAACCTTTCTTCTCTCAAGTTCCCCTCCTGCTCACGGAACTTTTGCTGAAAAGTCGGCAAAGATCAAGGACTAGCTGAAGTATCCGACAGGACGTTAATATATGGACATATATATCGAGATGGACTCGAGGAATAAAGGAAAAGAACATGGTATGGGCATCTAATGATGGGTCTGGCAAAACGCTAATTCGCTAATATAGCCCAAAATGACGATACAGATCCAACTCTGCCTGAGCTGGCAGCTGAATACCCCACATCGAAAGTTGCTGAGTCGTCTGAAAAAGATCAAGCAGAAGATGGTCTTGACCTAGGCTCGCTAACTGTTAAAGTACCTTGCCACCACATCCGTTTAGGCGACTACATCATTCTTCAAGGCCGCCCATGCTCAATTATTAAAATAATGACGTCCTCGAAGACCGGTCAATACTTTTATGAAGGTTGTGATCTTTTCGATAGGCGACTTTACACAGGATATTCTTTTATCTGGAGTCCTGCGCCTCGCATTGCTGTTCAGTCTATGCTGGGCCCTGTCTTCAAGCAATATCGAGTTTTGCGGTTGGAACATGGAATGGCAGTTATCAGTGGTGAGAACGAAGGTGAATACCCAGGGGTCAAGATTCTTCAGAACCAAAGTCTCTACTCACGACTTGAGAATGCGCTTAACTCCAATCGTGAGTTTGTTATTGTCGTGGTACTCGAGCACGAACACGAAAAGCTCGCTGTGGATCTGAAGGTCATTGATACAAGCTCACCAGATGTCAAAACCGAGAAGTCACTTCATGCAGCTGTTAGGGGTAAAAGTGACTCGGAATTCGAAATCCAGCTATTCCAGTTCGCTGAAGTAAGGCTGCCATCTTATAATAATGACTAATACTGACGGAATGTGCTTGATTCTAGCGCCATAGTGACATTGATCAATTGGACCAAAGCGGCGAGACTGCTCTGGACATTGCTGTGTCGATGCCACAATGGTATGACAGAGCCTTGATGTTATTGAAGGCTGGTGCATCGCCAACTGCGCAGCTGGAAGAGCCCTTCATCTCCCTTCTCAACGCAGCAGCGGAGGGGAGTATAGAGAAACTTGAACAACTATTCCAGAACAATGTGAAGCTCAACAGACGCGATCGTCTTGGGTATACGGCTCTCCACGAGGCTGTTTATTTTGGCCATTTTAGCGCTGTTGAGTTTCTGGTGGCAAACGGGGCTAATGTCAATGCAATTGTGACCTATGGAGGAGATACAGTCCTGCATGTGGCTGTCCAAAAAGGACTACAGCATCGATATTATCTTGATGATGCTCGGGCACAGTCTCCACGTCTAAGTCAAGATCATATCAAGATAATAGGCTTTTTAGTGCGGCATGGGGCCGATACGAAGATGAGAAGAAAACGTGGTCATCTAACAGCCGCAGAGCTCGTGTCTCAAGAGCTTAGGAGGCCCAAAAAGTATCAGCCTGATGAGATATGCTATCTCCAACGAATACTTATCATGCTAAGTACAACCTCGTATAGTCAACAAACTGAGGAGGTTGCAGGTGGTGAACTAACAGTGGATGATGAATTGATAAAACTCAGGGGTGAGTTTCGAAACTCAAGTTGCAAGAGCTCATACTTCGAGATGCCTGTTGCAGATCTACTCATCAGTTCACGAAACGACCTCAACAGAATTATTCGCCAACACAGAGAGGACGTTTATGACAGCATGTCAAGGATAAATTGGGTATGGGTTCATTTGCCGGCAAACCTGGTATGTTCACAATCACATCCCGGTCACGATTACATAGGTCTGAGTGCTAACGACTCCAAGAAAGACTGGGTTGAGGTTCGTATACTGAGTCTAGGTTTGTATTGGCATTCTAACTAGATGGTAGGATGCAATCTACAAGCTTACGTATACCGAGAAAACCGTCTTGAAAGAGTACTATCACGCTGTTCAAAGATTTATTTCTGGATCATTCAATGAAGTTAGAGGACCTATTGCAGGTTCACACTCTCGAAAGCCATGCTTTCATCCCCAGCCTGGATCTCACAACGAAATATTCTCTCTGGTGGTAAGCTAATCAAGATCACCTACAAATTCGTATACTGAAGCCTCAATCAGGTCCCGTATCTTGACGCAGAGAACCTCTACTGTTTGCATAACCTGGAGAGAGTGGTAGATGGCTGCTCTGACTCCAAAGACTGCAACAAAACATATTCCATCATGGACAGATTGAGGGCTAGCTACTCAAGATTTAGTTGGCCAGTGGACAGGCTACATACACCCCTTACACTTGACCAATCCTATAATCTCTCTCTTGGGAGGTCAGAAGAACGAGATAAAGATCAAGTGGTCGTCAAACATTTCACTACTTCGGAACAGTCAGTGCATGGAGGTTATTTGCGGAGGAGCAGTGAAAGAGGGGCAATAGGCCAATACAAAAGAAGCAAGCTTATTATGGTGAAGCAGATATGGATATGGAAAGTTGATGACAGTAAGTTCTGAACTTCTCGAATGGAGTAACCCGCTGCCTCGGATCAAATTAACCAGACAATAAGAGACTCTCCTTACAGCCTCTACCGATCGTCGGCATCGAGACGGAACAGAGCTTCGGGAAAAAATGTTCCAAGCTACGGGGAGTAACCCCCCTCGGTCTTTAGGTTTAACAGTTTCCCACATATTGAGCTGCATTACTCAATTTATTAATGAGCCGACAAACGCCGGATTGGACGAAAGTCCGTTGCGAATATTTGAGCAAACAATCGCGAAATTGGTATGAACTTCACAACCAGTCAGCCTAAATCTAACAAATACGGTGCAGGCAAGTCGAGAAGCCCAAAATTATAGAGACTTTTACGATTGGCAGAAGCGTTTGACAGACCTATCGGGTCAGGATCTAAAAGAGAACCAAGACATCCTCAAAAGAAGAGAAGAAGCAATGAAACGTATCCAGCGGGAAGTTTGCGATATAACGAAAGAATCCGGTGACCTTCTGCAGATTAAGGACGTCAGACATGAATTGACAATGATTTGTGGGGTCCTTGACGGTCAATGGATGTCCATCAAAGAATACGCAGATCAGAGAATACTAGCCATTGAGGAGAGAATCAATGGCATCGAGGAAGCAATGAAGGATGAAGAGGAAAGTATGAATGACAATGAGGAGAAATTACAACGAGATCGAGACATACTGCACGATGAGTGGGCAGAACTGGAAAACGCCATCGACAATGTCAAGTCACAGCTATCAAAGGTCAACTCTCTGATAAAAAATGCATTTTCAGTAGAGGAATCGGTAAGATACATGCTATGTATGAGACACGATTCCCACCGTTAATACTGCGTAATTAGATCAAAAGCCTACTAGATTTGAAGCAGAAGCAGGGCAGTCTTATGGCTGTGCGGGATACTCAAAGTCTCACGAGAACTGCTGATTCACGGGCAAGAGAAGGCGAACGGCAAAGTCAGCTCCTGCTGATCTTCACGATAATTACTGTTTTCTTTGTAAGTCCGGCTTTAGTTCTTTTCCCCGCCTTTGGAACTGGGAAGCTCGTACTGATTCGCCTTCCAGACCCCTGTGTCATTCACGTCCGCTTTCATGGCTATTCCGACCAAAGATTTCCCACACAATGGCGAAGGGGAAGTTTCATGGGGATGGGTGCAGGTGTTTCTTGCAAGTCGTAAGTCAATAGCAGATGCTAAGAAGAAGGGCCTTAATGCTAATCTTGCTATTAGTTATTGCCGAGCTTTTCACGTTGCTCTGTGTATCGCCATGGATATTCTCTGAGCTGCAGCTTTGGTATCATCGATCTGGATCCGAATCCTGGATAGCCTTGCTCAAGTGGGAAAAAAAGGACAAGAAACGTAGGGATTCAGAAGCTCGAGCAGGGGGAGTACACTGAACATAAACTTTGGACAATCATTGAAAATTAGGCTCGTATGTAGTTGCTACCATAAAGGTTTAAGGCCAAGTCTTAGAACTAAGTTCTCCCACTCATGACAAGGCTTTATTGCAGCCAGGACATCGGCACGGCCTTATCTAGGAAGACAGCTCGTGTGCAATGCGATCAGTTAAGACTCCTAATTGTATGAATAGTGTAGCTATCGTCTTGGCGCTTATCAACTTGGTTTCCCTTTTGCAAAAGGCTGATAATTACAATGCCTGTTCTCACTGGTGGTAAATCCTTGTAGGGTTGCTTTTCCTTGTCATTATGTAATTAATGCCACTATAAGATGGCTTTTAAGATGATAGTCAAGCCTTTTTGGACTTCAACCTTATTTGTTACACCCTTCTTATACAGGAATTCCCATTTGGTAGGCATACACTCAATCGAGATCGCACACAAACAACGCCTGCTCACTAAGATCTTGTAAGCAAACCACAACAAACTCTACTTTGTCGAAATGGCGGTCATCCCCGAAGCTGCTACGATTATCCAGCGCAAGAAGGTGCAATACTGTCGCTTCGCTGACTCCAATCAATGGGACCGCTTCGATAGCATCATGCTGCCCAACGCGACATTTCTCTTTCACAATCAAGACGGCAGTGTGATCATGAAGGGAGAAGTTGAGTACTCGTGGTCATCTACAAAAGATTGGGTGGCGTTCTTCGAGAATGAGTTCAAGACGATGCAGACGATTCATATTGTCGGGCCAGCGGAGATGGAGCAGATTGCACCTGATGAGATCAAAGCCATCTGGGCTGTTACGTATCATGCTGGGACAAAGGGACATGAAGGCGGTGTTCATGGAACAGGCGGTGGGCATTATCACGAGACATGGAGGAAAGTTGGGGATGACTGGTTCATGGAGAGCTTGAGAATGGAAAGACTTTACTGGAAGGTATTGAGTGTTTAATCAATTCATTCAAGACGACTAGATATATCTACTACATCTATGAAGAGCCATTCACTCCGTTTGTGCCATTTGCCTTTTTGGCTTCAGAGGCATCCTCAGCATCAACGCCTCTATACTCAAAATACTCACTCCATTCACGATCATTGATCAAATCCTGAGCAAGCCTCTTCTCATAGAAGATGGCAAGCTCGCATCCCTCATCTGACTCAGGTGATGGGTCGCGAGGTGGGTACACAATGATAACACCCTCAGTGATGCGATCGAGTAGGTGACGGTATGTGGCTGGCTTCGCGAAGCCAAAGTCTGCCGAAGCGATGTTTGCATCGCGATGATCAGTCTGTAGAATAGACAGCGGGGGCTGTGCATCGACTCGGGTATTTAGCGACGTCTTGTCGCGAATGTTAGCCACCATTTCAAGTGTCTTGTCAAGGTTCTCTTGTGTGACGCTGTTGGTCAAGCGACGGATGTACGATGCCAACTCTGACAGCGACCACTCTGACATTATCTGCGCGACAGTTGGTTGTGTAACAGGCGCAGTGGGAGACGTCACAGCGAACATAACATTATGCTGGATGCGCGTTGGCACCTTTGGACTGTGCATTCGTCGTCTCATATCAATCGCCTCACACCAGTATAAAGTCGAGCTCGGATCGGGGTTGAAGACGGGCGCTCGAATACGCGTGAGGTTACGCCAAATGAAGGCTGAGAAAGCGTCGTATGTCGAGATCCACGTTCCGTCGGTGGGAGTGGCCTTGGTTTTGAGTTCGGCTGCTTTGCTCTTGGGGAGATGGAAGAGCAGAGACATGCCGACTTGATGAGCGGGATGGCGCTCTGGGGGAGCTGGGCCATCTATCTTTTGGTCTTCTGGGGGTTCTTGCTTGATGAGGCGCGATACATCGAGGTTGAGAGGATCCCAGCTTGGGTGCTTGGTGCCGTTCACATCAGCGTAGCAGTTCTCAGCTAGCTGATGAACGAAGCCTGCCCAGCCCATCACATCGTTGGTATAGTGGTGATGATGAATGTTGAAGACAAGACCACCGCGGATGAAGTTGGCCTTGAAAGCTGACACGACAGGGCTGTTGTCGGGGTGTGCTTCAGGCTTCTCACTATATGTCATGGGTGGTACACTCCATTGCTCAAGATCCCCAAGCGTCACAGCACTAAAGTTCGTCTTCTCCAGATCCTCAAACGAAGGATACTTATCCGCATCCTCGGGTACGTCAAGCCACTGCACAAAGAACCTCACAGTACTATCCCTCTTCTTGGTAAACGAGTGACCACCGCCAGGATCCTTCTCAATGGTCCCACAGTAGTGTCTCGCCTGCGCCAACGTCCTCTCCAGCCCAGCCTTGAGGATCTCAGCGGCTCTCTCTTTCTCCGAGTCCTCTAGCTTGAAGAAGAGGGCGTAGTTGTTGTAGCTGCAGACGGTGAGGTAGTCGAGCGTGGTGACCTTGAAGCGTTCCTCTTCCGGGTCGTTTTCCCAGCCAAGTGGGTGAAGATGGTAGACGTGTTGCTTGGGCATGGCGTGGGGCGCTTGGTGGATATGGTGAGATGTGTGTGTGAAAGTATGTGTGATGGGGAAGAGTATGGGTGTGAGATTGAGCTGGATTTATGAGCCTGGTAGCCGAAAGTGGGTTCTTGGCAGTATGATTGTGTGGCCACTTTCTTCTTAGTTGGTTTTCCTAAGAAGGTATCAGCATTAACAGTGAGGGGCTTGCTATACGAAAGAAAGGAACTGAGTTTTTGGCTGCATAGAATCGACGAAAAAGTTGAAACAATAGTCTTGAGAACGACCAGCACGGTACATGAGGATGTGGCCTGATCCTTCTATGCAGCCAAGGCTCTTGAACCGAGGCAGCGTTACGGAAACCAGGGAGCTGGTTCTCCGACCATTATCCAAGGATATGAAGTGCCGATCATCTGCAGATTTCTGATGAAGATGTTACCAACAATGCCAAGTCAGCCAAGTTCATGCAACCAACAGGGAACCAGGGGTCAAGGAACTTTAAATTCTGGATCGGGACGTTGACGGGAGCTAATAAAAAGTCCGCGCCGTCTACTATGCAAGAGATCAGACGTCAAGAGCCTTAGCTTGGATACTATAAGGAAGCAATAAAGTCTCTTTAACATATTTATGGCAGTGAGTGGAATGAGATGATGGGGGGGCCGATATTTGGGAACAGCTGTCTTGGCCCGCAGACGGGTGTAACATTTCCGATAACCGGGCAGTCAGCGTATATGCATCTGTTTAGATTTGTTAAGGATCTGCCCTGCTGGAACAGGTTCGAAGCGTTTTCTTGAAGGATTCAAATTGCAGTGACTGATCACATGTTGTTGGTTCACCCCTGCTTGCGTTCTTTTCTCATGGTGGGTGGAGTACCTAAATCCTTCCGGGTGCCGTTTTCCAGTCTGAGTCGCATCTTAGACAATCTCTCGTTTTGCACTCACAAAAGGATCATTTTACTGCTATATGGCTGCTAGTCACTCATAGCTTCACTTGGGTTCCTCCAATCGACGCCAGTGACTCTCTAGAGTAGTTAAACCCCGCGTGGTTTGGGCCAAGTCTAGCCAGGAACAGATCATAAACTTAATTGCTCGTTTGACCAAGAAATGGCATGAGCTTGTAGCCGAGGTTCCACCATATGGAGTTCATTCTCAGCCTAGACAGGGTCATAACCAGGCTTTTCAAAGGCGGCACCAACGTCCCGAGCAAACTTGTGAGAAAATTATCACAAGCTGCCACCACGAGCCCCCGGAACTTTCAATGTCTAACCCGCTGCAGCCAATGCTACCAGATTCCGATGAGCCAGGATTTCGGAAACTGGTAGCTAGTCTTGGATATGATCGCCAGGAGAACACAGACAGGGACATTAACGCAAACGGATGTTTCAATCAATAACTCAATTACGGCTTGCACCGACAAGCCCTTTGAGTAATAAATGACCTTGTAAATAGGTAGTTACTTGCTATAGCATCACGTCCAAAAGCAATTACTGTTTCGCCTCCCGGACCCGAAATACCGGGGTTCAGGCTCGCCACGTTTGGTACATACCGAACTCTCCTTAACATGGGGCATCAAAGTCTTTCCGTAGGATCGTTAAAAGTCAGCTTGTTCCTGGACGTCTTGTGCCTGAAGATCAAGAGACCTTGTTATTGTCCTGTGCTTTCATCATGGCTACCATTGATCTGGACGGACCGGCCCTTGCGCCTCCAAAGGGCGAGGTGTCGAATCTGAGCGATCCTCCAAATCAGAATGGTCTGGCTTATACTGTTCTGATCCTCTGTGCGGTTATTACCACGATATGCTTCCTTCTGAGAGCTTACGGGCGGGTTTATCTGCTGAAGAAGTTTCAGACTGAAGAGAGTGAGTAGGGCGCCTGATCCTTCCCGAGTCATGGCTAACGGAGTTTGAAGTTCTCACGACCTTGGCATATGTATGTTTGATCCTTTGACAGTGCTTTACATGATCTCTAACAGAACCAAGGGCAATTACTGGGGTGCTGCCTACGCGACGTTCAAGATGGTGGATACGCCTGGATATTTCGTGCATCAATGGAATGTCCGCCTCAAGGATGTAATTCCCACAAACTACGTGAGTATCCCTCTACCTAAACTGCACAACCACAAAGGCTAACATATATCAGTGGGTTCTCATCTTTGGAGTCTGCTACTCCTTCGTCCTCCCATTTCTCAAAATCGCTATCCTCGTTGAATGGTGTCGCCTCTTCGTGCCGAAAGGCACAAGAACAAAGAGCATCTTCTGGTGGGGGTGCATGATCATTGGGTTCGTCCAAGCTACGTCCAACACCGCTATTGTCGTTGCTCTGAATATGCAGTGCAACCCGCATGAAGCCATCTGGGACTTTAGAATTCCTGGTGCCAAGTGCTGGGACTTGCATAAACTTCAGGTCGCATCTGCTACGATCCACTTGTGCTGCGATATTGCCATCTTCTTGCTACCCCAGCAGGTTATCTGGAAGCTAAAGATGTCTTGGAGGAAGAGGATGGGTGTATCTGTAATCTTTGGACTTGGTCTACTGTAAGTGCACTTTTCGAGCTCATGATACAGCCACTAACACGGAAATGCAGAGCCTGCGTGTCAGCTGCCTTCAGATTGGCTGTCACAGTTAAGTATGGCAAAGCGGCCGATGCTTTATACGCCCTCGCCCCTCTAGTCTTCTGGGCCACCGCCGAAATGACCTGCGGCTTCTTCATCGTCTGCGTCCCATGTATCCCCAAGATTCTCAAAGAAACCGGAGTCATCCGCAACATCAAGCGTGCATTTGGCATAAGCACCGCTCCCACGAACCCCAATACTGCAGACCGATATGGCAAAAGTGGAACAAAGGGCTCACAGCTTTCGTCTACAGGCCCCAAGTCTTATTACAAGCTAGATGAGGATGGTGTGCCTTTGGGAACACTCAAAGGATCTGAGTCGACGGAGTATCTGCGGGACAATGCCAATAACGGGCAGGGTATTACTCGGACGACGCAGATCAAGATCATGCAGGATAATCGCTCGACAAGCGATTCGGAAGGTCATGCTGCGTTTCCGGCTTCTCAAAAGGCCTGGGGTGTATAGCGCATGAATGTTGGCCGATGTTGCATGAGCTATATAAAAAGGGTCGATTTGGTGGCATTGTTACTCTGTAATATGCTGCAGTTGGTGTAACATTTTGTATCATCTAGAAATAAATATATCTTAAGCCTCCAGATACCGAGGATGAATAATTAAAGAGGAACACTTCTCCCTTTCAGCATTAATGAGTATCCTTCAAGAATTATGCTTGCTGTTCATGAATACAGCACAAGAACTGATGACATAGAATGAGGCCATTTCATGTTACATCGCGCATACCGAGACGCAGGATACGTCTGATCGTCGTCTAAAAATCCCTATTCGACCAAGAACGAGAAATCAACCTTGACAAGGAGATGAGAAATGAATTCGTAATGCAAACCAGTGATGATATGATGTTAGTCCTCGCTAGGAGCAAAGTCTCATCAATTGTCTCCACCAAGCAGGGGATAATACGAATGGTAGGGTGATGGGCAGGGATGAGTGCTGATCTCTTCAGGGGTTGGGATTTCCCGGAAGTTTTCCTAGCTTCCTCTCCCGTCGCTCGCCTCGGAGGATTTAGCACAATTTACCCGACAGATCAGCGATTGCAAGTTTCAGGACTGCGGCGTGGTTTTTCGGCAGATGGATCATTACAGGGTAAGCTACGGACTTTCGGACATTGGCTATCAACGGTACAAGACCTTTCAAAGAGGGTTACCTACAGCAAGCGACGTGGCAGACGGACAAGTTCTAGAGTGGCCCTTGAAAGCTGACAGTATGGAGCAAGATCTATTAACTTCAAGCTTATGTTTCGACTATTTCAAGGCGTGCCGGCCCGCGTCGCCTTGTTTTAGCCCCCGAAAGCTAACCTGGAATAGCCAACTCGAGGGGCATTAATGCTAGACACCTTACGTGTTGACTGGTGTTTTCGTTAATCAAGCCTATTTCTGTTGTATACACATATGCAGGTCGAACTGGGCCTCTTCCACATCAAAGTTTATTAATGCATTAGCTCAACTCAGAATTCATTCTCTGAGGTCAAGGCCTGTTTTTCGAAGGATTCTTGTGCAGTAGCTTTAAAGACTACTACAAGATAGGAATATTTATCCGTTATGCAAAATGCCTCGGAGGAACTATAGTGGAGAGACAAGGTTACTAAGGTCTGTATTATCGAACGACCACATACCTCGATAGGATACCAGTAAAGTAGTTGGCCGATGAGAGTGACGTCCTTGGTCCTAAAGTATAGTAGTATGAATCTTGTCGTAGTATAGTACTAGAATTGACTGTAAATTTGATCCTCCTGAATGATTTCCAATTACCAAGGTATCGACGACAAGATGAGTGACATTGCAATTATTGGATACTCGTTCAAGCTCCCTCAAGGTGTCGAAGATGATGATGCCTTTTGGGATGTTCTCGAGAATCGCCAAAACTTGATGACTGACTGGCCTGAGAGTCGTGTCAAGATAGATTCATTTGCCAACAACAAGCATCAGAAGGTTGTAGTTCTTATCAAGCACCTGGTTCCTATCTGATACTGCTGCAGTGGAATGGAAAAGGAGGGCACTTCATCAACGACGATGTCGCCGCCTTCGACGCCCCCTTCTTCTCACTCACGGCCAAAGAAGCTTCGGCGATGGATCCGATGCAGCGCTGGACGCTGGAAGCTACTTACCACGCTTTCGAGAATGGTGGAACACCTAAACCCGTTCATAACGAAGGAGTACTAACTGTATGCCTTATAGCGGGTCTCCCAGTCGACAGTCTCAAGGGCTCTCGCACTGCCGTCTTCTCGGCCTCTATGCTAGAGGACTACAGTAGAATGACCGCCGTGGACCCAGATAACTTGGAGCGAACGGCTGCGACTGGAAGTACTGTCTCGTGTATTATTCCGAATCGTGTCAGTTGGTACTTTGACCTTCGTGGGCCAAGCATTCACGTCAACACTGCTTGTTCTAGTAGCTTGTCGGCTGTCGATATGGCCTGCAAAGCTCTGAAGAGCGGCGATGCTTCATGCGTAAGTCATAGCCTACCTCCACCTAATGATTGACTAATTTTTACAGGCTGTCGTGGCTGGTGCAAACCTTCTTCTTGATCCAAGCATCTTCCAGGTTCTGGCTAACCAAGGTTTTCTCTCACCTGATGGCGTTTGTTACAGCTTTGATGAACGGGCCAACGGGTATGCACGAGGTGAAGGAGTTATTGCCGTTATTCTGAAGCCTGTGCAAGCTGCGATTGAGAATGGTGATATGATTCGAGCTGTGATCCGATCGATTGGCTCGAACCAGGATGGCCATACCCCGATTCTCACACAGCCAAGCCCTCAATCTCAGGAGGAGCTGATTCGCCATGTTTACAAACAAGCAGGTTTGTCGATGAGCGAAACCCGATACATTGAAGCCCACGGTGAGTAACATCGTAGCCCGTCTAAATGATGAGCTGACGATGGAATCAAGGCACGGGCACACCTGTCGGTGATCCAATCGAGGTCAAAGCCATCGGGCGGTGCTTTCAAGACCATCGCTCTCACCTGGAACCACTCTACGTGTAAGTCGTCTCTCTCAGCGGGAGAAGAGCGTTGACTAATGGCACGGACAGCGGTTCAGTGAAGGCAAATATAGGACATCTTGAAGGAGCCAGTGCACTTGCAAGTCTAGTCAAATGCATCTGTAATATTACCTATCTACGTTTCAAGGCCAAAAGTACCTGAACTGACACTGCTAGTAATACTTGAGAAAGGAGTCATCCCTCCAAATGCGCTTCTTCAAAAGATGAATCCAGCCCTGAACGCGGACTCATACAACGTCACCGTAAGTACAGAATGTATAGATAGTATGCTCCCTGTTAACTGAAACTGTGTTAGGTGCCAACGAAAAGCATCGAGTGGCCTGCTGAAGGCCTCCGTCGAGTATCTCTCAATTCATTCGGCTTCGGAGGTTCAAACTCGCATATTGTCCTCGACGATGCACTTCACTACTTGCAGAATCGCGGCCTCAGCGGTATCCATAACACAGCCCTCGTCCCAAGGCCTGTAACCAACGGCTCAACTATCACCAGCGGACATGGCGCAGCTCATACCAATGGGGCCAACGGCACCAATGGGACCAACGGTGTCTCCAACGGTCACTCAGACGTCGGACATCACAAGCTTCTAGTATGGACTGCTGCCGACGAAAAGGCAGCCAAGCGCACTATCGAAGCTTATGACACCTTTTACAACGAGAAGGTATCAGGGAACAGCAAGAAGCTTGACTCTTTAGCATCTACTCTCGGTACACGCCGGAGTAACATGCTTTGGAGAGCTTCTGCTGTAGTTGACGGATCAACGAACCAAGTATTGTCAACTTCGAAGCCTATTAGAAGCTCGGAGGACCATGGCCTGGCCTTTGTGTTTACAGGTCAAGGCGCGCAGTACGTAAACATGGGCCTGGGTCTGGAACGGTATACTGTCTACCGAGAGACTCTAGAGAAGATCAGCGAGATTTACTCCAGCTTTGGGTGCTCTTGGAACCTATTTGGTAAGTACATCCTATGAATGACATCGTATATGCTTGCTGACGGATATGATCAGACGAGCTCAGCTGTGGCGACAACATCAACATGCCGGAGTATAGCCAGCCGCTTACAACCGCTGTGCAGATTGCCTTGGTCGACCTGCTCGCTAGCTTCGGTATCACCCCCATGGTGGTGATTGGTCATTCTTCGGGTGAGATCGCTGCAGCGTACGTATCATCAATACTCTGGAGTGCGAATGACTGTACTAAGTCGTCCTAGATATGCATCCGGCGGGCTGTCTCTAGAATCTGCTTGTACAGTGTCCTACTTCCGCGGTCTCTTGGCTGGAAAGCTAAGAGAGGCCAACACATCATCTCCAGGCGCCATGCTGTCTATCAACCAGGCACCGCATCACGTCTCGGAGTATTTGGAGAAGATAGGTGTCACTACAGCCAACGTGGCATGCATCAACAGTCCTCTGAATGTCACTCTCTCGGGGCCAGAAGAGACCATTGACAAGATCAAGTCTCATTCTGATCAAGATGGGATCTTCGCGCAGAAGCTCAAGACGGGAGTTGCATATCACTCACCGTCTATGAAAGCCATCGCGAGCGAGTATCTTGCTGCACTCGAAGGACTTACCATGAGAACGGATGGAACTACCATCCCAATGATGTCGTCTGTCACCAGCAAAAGTATTTCTTCAGATACACTAGCGACTGGTCAATACTGGGTTGACAATATGCTATCACCTGTTCGATTCGCCGAAGTAGTGCAGGTCATTGCAAACAAGAACTCAGCACGCAAAGTTGGCTTGCCTAACATTACTGACTTGATTGAGATTGGCCCTCACCCAGCCCTTCGAAGGCCCGTGAAAGACACGCTTGATGGGATGGCCGGTGCGGCAAAGGGAGTAAGATATAAGTACGCATTGCATCGATCCCACACAGCAGCTCAGACTACCCTCGAACTCGCCGGTCAACTATTCTGCCAAGGCTACCCCGTTTCCATCCCGGCAGCCAATCGACAAAGTATGAAGGAGAGGTTTCTAGTTGACTGTCCCAAGTATCCGTTCGACAGATCACAGCGATACTGGGCTGAGTCACGCCTAAGCAGAGACTTTAGGCTGCGGGAGGCTGTCAAGGGTGAGCTGCTGGGGGTGAGAGTTTCTGACTGGAACCCACTAGAGCCTCGGTGGAGGAACTTTTGGAGCACTGACTCATCTCCCTGGACTGGAGATCACAAGGTGACTTTTTATGATATAGATGCTGTGGCACTACTAACGTAGATCATAGATTAGTGATACTGTCCTGTTTCCAGCATCTGGCATGCTCCTCATGGCTATTGAGGCCGCTCAAGAGATGATTCCATCTGACCGTGCTGTCTTTGGGTATAACATTGAGAGAGCTGAGTTTATGAACCCCATGATTATGCCAGAAACTTGGGAAGATCGTCTCGAGACCCAGGTCCGCCTCCGAATTGCCGACAAACAACGTGCTCCAAAGTTCGATGTCACCATCTTCACTTACTCGCGCAATGAGTGGGTCGAGTGCTTCACTGCGAACATTTCGGTCGAATATCAGGATACAAATAGGCACGAGAAGCGACGAGTGAGCCACGAGCACATACGGGGTCAGTATCAGAAATTAGTTGAGATGTGTACTTCACCCATCGACTCTCGCGTCTTCTACCATGATGCGGCAGAGGCTGGACTGCAGTATGGCGATTGGTTCCAGCTGATGCGCAACATCAAGTGGGACTGTAAAACCTCAGCCGTTGCACGCGTTGATCTGTCACAGTCAAAGTTCAACATCAAGAGCCTAGTCCACCCAGCAGTCCTGGACCAAGCCTTCCAAGTTCTCCGAGCCGGCTCAGGCCAACAACCCGCAGCCAATGTCCCCATCAGACTCGAAAATTCATGGTTCTCCTCCAAAGCATGGAAGACACCTTCAGTTCAGTGGATGTGCAGCGCGACTCCGACCTCCCACGGTTACGGGGAGCAGGGCAAGGTCGTAGCTTTAGCCGAGGACGGAGAAGTCCTTTGCTGCATCGAGCGTGCAGTTACATCTGCTGTCTCGGGTGGAATAACCCAAAAGGAGAAAAGGCTGGTTTATTCAATTGAGTGGAAGCCACAGTTCAGCATGCTTGGCCCAGACCAACTTACACGATTATGCGCCGCTAATGCTGTGCCGAAAGACGATAGGGCAGTCCTGGAGAATCACTCGAAGCTTTGTCATGCACTAGAGATCGTAGCTGCTCGTGTGCTGAAGTGCATTGACGACCATAGAGTTCCGGCAGATTTGCAACGCCACCTTGAGTGGATGGAACACCACGTTAGCAAGCTATCAGCCGAACATCACGAGGAGGCAATAAAGATCAGTGATGAGGAGCTCGAGGCTCGCCTGGCTGAAGTTGACTCTGTCCTCCCGGCATGGAAGTTATACACAACGTGCGCACGAAAGCTACCTGAGATTCTCTCTGGGGAGCTTGATCTTCTGCAGGTGGTATTTGAATCTGACCAGGCCGACATCTTTTACTCAGATCTCTTCCGAAACCTCTGCGCTGATGGTCAGCTCAATTATCTACTTGACTTGGCGTCACACGAGAACCCAGCTATGAGAGTTCTAGAAGTCGGTGCTGGAACAGGTGGTATGACTGGACATGTCATATCAGCTCTACAAGAACGTGAGAAGCGAACTGGAGGATTGGCGTTTTCAGAGTATACGTACACCGACATATCGCCCGCTTTCTTTGAGACTGCAAGTCAGAGATGGCCAGAGCTCAAGTCCCAAGGCCGCATCACTTTCAAGACACTCGATCTAGACCGCAGCATCGATAGTCAGGGTTTTGAGCCTGGGTCATATGACTTGGTCATCGCGGCCAGTGTTCTTCATGCTACCACATACCTGGAAGCCACTATACGCAATGTTCGCAAAGCTTTAAAGCCAGGTGGTCGTCTCATCCTCCTCGAGGTTATCAATCCTGATGACATTGCTACTAACTTCATGGCTGGACTCGTACCAGGCTGGTGGGTTGCTCGTGAGGAATGGAGATCGCATTCTGCTGCTATACCAGAGCACCTTTGGGATAAGTGCCTCAAGGACAATGGTTTCTCAGGAAATGACTTGGTGATTCGAGACCATCAAGATGATCAGTGTCATATTATGAGTGTTATCGTCACCACCGCCAGTGAAGTTGAACAGGCGGTTGAGCAAAAGGTAACAAAAGGCCGTCTAGTCATGGTCATCCGTGACGAGGCGTCAACAAAGGAAAAAGAGCTTGTAGAACAGGTTCACGCACGAGTTGATCCAACAATAGAGACCCGTGCAGACGCTGTTCCATTCTCACTGGGTCCAGTTCAGGAGGGGTTGACCAATTTGACAAGTCATGATATTGTCATCTGCATCGCCGAAGCTCACAAAAAGCCTCTCCTCTCAGCTCTCTCGGAAGAACAGTTCAGCTGTCTTCAGGACTTGATCCGAAAAGTCTCGAACCTTCTCTGGGTCTCCTCAGCCAGCATCAGCGACCCGGAATGTACAGAGTATAGTGTCGCTCAGGGCTTCTTCCGTTCCATCCGCGCCGAGCAGCCTGAAACTCACATCGTCACCCTAGCAATGGGTAGTGAGATGGATCAAGCTTCACAGGCAGAAATCATCTCAGAGGTCTACAAGACAGCATTTGATACTGAAACGCCGTCAAACGAAGTCGAGTACATTGTTCGAGATGGTGTCATCACCACAGGCCGCGCGGTTCGAGATATCAGAACTGATACGGCACTACGATCCTTTGTTTCGAAGCAGCTACAACAGAAGCCTTGGGGTGAAGGGCCAGCGCTGAAACTTGGTATTAGCCAGCCAGGATCACTCGAGTCACTTCAGTTAGTCGAAGATAAATCTTTTGCGGAGGGACTCGGTCCTCATGATGTCGAGATCGAAGCGACGGCCTGGAGTCTAACCTCTCACGAGCTTGGCATTGCCCTTGGCCACCCTGAAAAGCGAACCGAGGAATTCGGCAGTGATTGCGTTGGCCTCGTCACCCGTATTGGGAAGAACTGCAGCACTACCATTCGACTAGGGGATCGTGTGGCTATGGTCTCTGCTGGATGCATGAGGAAATATCCTCGCGCAAACGAAACAAGCGTCTTCAAGATTCCCGAAACGCTCAGCTTTAAAGATGCTGCTTCGCTCACAATTCCCGCATTGACTGCCTGTCATTCAGTTCTCAATGTTGCACGCGTACAAGACAACGAAAAGGTCTTGATTCACTCAGCTGCAAGCAGTGCAGGCCAGATTGCAGTCAAGCTCACCCAGACACGGGGTGCTCAAGTGTTTGCTACTGTGTCAACAGTGGCTGAGAAGCAACTACTCATTAAAACAATGGGCCTGAGCGCAGATAATATCTTTGACAGCAATTCCCTATATCTTGCTCAAGATGTGATGAGAGTCACCCAAGGAGAAGGTGTTGATGTGCTACTCGACTTTTCTCGGGACAGTTTACGCACACCACTCTCTTGCATGGCCGATGGGGGACACATTGTCAGCCTTGGTGGTAGCAACCAGCCAGTGGCTTCTAACATGGCTGCAGAGATCATGTCAAGAAATCTCACCTTCTCTTCCATTGATATTATGCGTCTGAAGCCCAAGGTCTTGAGCCAACTGGCAAAAACAATGATGCAGCTCCTAGCTGAAGATAAAATCCAACCGCCCCAGCAATTACCAGTCTACAAGGTATCCGACATCAAAGGCGGTTTCAAGACACTGCAAGAGGATACCATCGAGCGTGTGATAGTAACCGCAGAACAAGGGGATATAGTTCCGGTAGGTCAATCACAGCCTGGTTGCTGCACTATTAGCTAACTCAAAACTTTACAGCAATTTGTTTAAGACCGTCGCCCATGGAAATTTGATGGCGATTCCACCTACTTAGTAGCTGGTGGATCTGGAGGTCTCGGTCGAGCCATTATCAGATGGATGGCTGACAGGGGAGCTAGACATCTGATTGTCCCTTCTCGATCCGGTGCAAGATCTGAAGCAGCTGCACAGTTGGTAGCCGAGCTGGCATCCCGCGGAATTAATATCGTTGCTCCCAAGTGCGATGTATCCATCCGAAAGGACGTTGAAGTCATGCTGGAGGAATGTTCCCGCACCATGCCCCTAATCAAGGGCTGCATCAACGCCGCGATGGTTCTGCAAGATGCCATATTCCAGAGCAACATGACATTCCAGCAGTGGCAACTAACCATACGCTCCAAGATCAACACCTCTAAGAACTTGCACCAGCTTCTTCCCAAAGATCTAGACTTCTTCATTCTTCTCTCCTCCCTTGCCGGCGTCGTTGGTCAGATAGCTAGTGCAAATTATGCAGGCGGCTGCGCGTATCAAGATGCACTAGCCAAATATCGGAGGGCGCATGGTCAAAATACATTGTCTCTCGACGTCGGATGGATGAGCAACATTGGCATCATTGCTGAGAAAGAGGCGTATCAGCGTCAAAGACAGACGTCGAATGACATGCAGCCCATCGATGACAAGGAATTGCTTGCACTACTGACTTTATGTTGCGACCCGAATAATCCGATCGAGTTACCGCCGTTGTCTGAGGGACAAATCCTTTTTGGTCTGCGAACACCCGCAGATATCCTTAGTGAAGGCCAGAAACCTCCAGCTCTTCTCGAACGACCTCTTCTCAGCGCATTCTCATTCTTAGCAGGCAACAACAATACACCAACCCAAGCTGTTGACCACGCCGAGAATGCGAGAGATGTATTCCAAAAGTCCTCAGATGCTAGAGAGCGGCAACAAGTTGTCATACGAGCCATAGCCGCCAAGCTTGCGCGGGCCATGTCCATCTCGCCTGATGACGTTGAGCCAAGTAAGCCACTCTCGTCGTACGGAGTAGACTCGCTGATGGCGGTTGAGTTGAGGAATTGGATCAACAAGGAGTTCAGCTCTACGGTGGCTGTGTTCGATATCATTGGCAGTATATCTATTTCTGGGGTGGCAAAGGTCGCTGAGATGCGAAGCTCGATTTGAACAGCCTTCAAATTTCGGCATAGTGTAGCTTATGGGCGTGATTCTGTCTTTGAAGTATATGAGGTGCAAGAGCAAGAAGCACAGTTTCTTTCCAGGCAGTGTTATAGACTTTATTAATATCAGATTGTTAATCTCTATGAGCTCAAGTTTAGAACTTCATCCTGTCCAACTGTCCTCGCTCCTCTCCAAGCACTTTCCTACTTGGCGATGACAAGCTGGCCATCAGGGGTATGGTTAATAGTGACAACAGGTGAGCGAACATTAAAGTCAATCTTAATTGGCTGCCTTCCAAGCTTGGCGGGATCCAGGAGCTGTCCAGTCTGGAAGCTGGGACCAGTAGCGACGTAGAAGACATTAGAGGGCTGGACCTGGTACTGATTGCCAGGCTCAGGCCTGAATGTAGCGGTTGCTACGCGGTCGTTACCGTCAGGAGAACTGGCGACACCAACAAAGATATTATCTATTGTCATTTAGTAAGTACCAGTACCATTAGGTTTTGATGGTTGACTTACTCTCAGTGGCGATCTCAAGGGTAAAGTCGTTCTTAGTATCAACTTCGAAAGCACCGGAACGGGCAGTGTCGTTGTTGGCAGCTCTATCAATAGACGCATTTCCATTGGCAACAGAGATGCTGAGAGTAGTTCCAGAAACCAGACTACCGTCGCCAGCCGTAGAGCCCAGGGTGACAGGCTGAGCTTGGGAGACGAACGCCTTGGCACCATCCTTTGCACCGCCCTTCCACTTGCCAACTATGGCGTAGTAGTTCTTCCACAACTCAAACTCGGCGGTGGCACCATCAGGTGTGCCATCGGCAGTTTGGTAGGCATTGGTCCAGATGCTAGACTTGGAGATACCGGTGACCTCGGGCTTTTCTGTGAAGAGGGTGTAGTTCTGGGAACTTCCCGATCTGTTGTTGATGACGATAGTGAACTTGTTGACCATTTTGGCGGTGCTAATGGGGTATCAAGAAGAGTCCGAACTGTGCGTATATAATTAAATAGGAAGGAATACTGAGGGAGATGCTGAGTTTTGGAAGATACATGTTGACGATTGATCGAGACCTTTATATACTAATTTCCTGTCGCTCATTGACGTCTTTGATGGTCTCACTTTGAGATGCAATGATGAATCTAGTTCTGGATGCAATATTTCATGGGAGGCTGGCGCAGCAACTGCAAGCTAGTTCGCACCATTGGCTCACCATGCCGAAAGTGGAGGGCAAACACTCTAAGCGCGAAGCTGAAAACTGCATATCCCTTGAGCTAGTGACCAGACTATCAACTTCGTATAAACTACGGTCTAACCCCTCATTTAGTCAACTTTGGTCAATTTCCTCTCGCATCACACAATCTACTCTTTCCATCTACAGCAATCCCCTCAATATGAAAAGACCTCTCCTAGACATGCACGTGGCTCCCTCTTCGTCATGGTCGACGAATGACAAGCCACGCAACATCACAATCACAAACTCCACCGGCAGCACTCAGAGCTACGCCCTGTTCGCCGACACGCCAAAGATCACACCAGGCATACCCGTGATCAGCAACAACATCATCCTAGTCCTGCGCGGCGTAGCTAGTGCCTCTGGCCAAGCGTACTTTACGCTCCCCAAGTCTCCCTTCTACGCCGTCTGCGGCACAAGCTACGGTGGTGAGTCCACAGTCGAGACTACAGTCGAAGTTCTGGATTCGAGACCTGTTGAGGTTGGGCACAAGGCGGATGACCAGACGTTGGTAGCGGGTACTACGCTAGAGCTAGTCATCAAGAGGGGAACGCCCAACTTTGCGAACAGGCCTGATATCGTGCCTTCTGGCCATGAGGGATGTTTCTGTATTCGGACCAGCAGCGAGTTTACGCATAGTCAAGCACGTGCAGGCAAGTCTAGATCCCAACCCCTCACTCATCCCCTGCGCTAAGACTAACACCGCTAGGGGACTTTGTCGTCGGTGTCTCGCTGTTCAAGAAGCTATCGCGCTACTTCGGACCATTTGCTACGTTCAGACCCGCGCCTGGGGCTGAGTATCAGATCCAGCCGCTGAATCGTTTCTACCTCGCTGTTGGAGATTACGATGTACGCTCTCCTACGCCGAAAGGTCTTGAGACGAGGAGCTGTCTGATTGACTTTAATGTTTTGGAGTTGGATAATGTGCAGGTTCATCATACGGAGACGGGCCGGTTGTTTGTAAAGTCGGATTTTAATGAGGATTGAGGGGGCATGGCTGCATGGGCCGGAGATCATGGGACGGGATGACCAGCTGGATCCTTACGCTCAATCCAGCATTTGTAGCCAGCCACAGAGTCTACATGTATCAATTATATGCCGAGTGAACCGATCTGGACGATATTAGCGCGTCGGGGTACCATAAACGACTGAGCGATGTATGGCATCCACCAATGCCTTCCGAAAGAGAACGATCTGTTCCCAAGATCTTAGATAGCGTGTATAAAAGGTTTACGCTATCGATCAGTATTTGAAACATCCATAGCGTATTTTCAGCTGTGACTGGCTAGTTTTAGTTCCTCGCAGGCGCTATCCCGACTACCTGGGAATCTTCCCCGCTCCCGTCCAATAGTGTATTTCTTAGCGCACCAGAACAGTCTGGAGCTGACGACTAGCCGTCTTATGAAAGACAGGGCGCAATGGATTGTTTCCGGATGAGAGGGGTTTAGATCTTGTTACCTAGTGGCTCCCATGGCGGGATCTCCGCGATCGGTTAATCGGTCCGCCACTAGTCTTGAGGCTTTTGGGCATGATGCAGCAAACATCGTGGGGTAGGATATATGTTCATCACTTTGCGAGTAGGAGCAAACAAAGTCAGAGGAGTCTAGGCAGATATCGAGCAAAATTCGATGATTTAACAGCGTCAAGAACATTTCAGCAATTGGATGGTCCAGACTGCTGATATACGTTTCCTGCTTCCTACATCATTACCATGAGCCGTTTCTTCTGCGTCAAGATATACAGCTGTGGCAGTCATTCGTCGAAAGACATCAATCTATAGGCGACCTTGTGTAATAAAAAGTCTATTGAGTGTTTATGCATAAGTAGTATAGAAGAATGGTAGTCACACCTAGAAATGGACAAGAACTGAACAAACTTTGCTACGCCTCCTGCCACGGCATGATAAGAATCTTTTGCATGTGGCGTCTGCGTAGTTTCTGCTATATCTACCGCCATCTGTTCATTGGTCTAGCTACTTCCATTAGCATCAGGAATGTCACAAACTCTTCCTATAAACGTACTCGTAATGCGCCGCTGCGATCTCAGTTCTTTCCACAGCATTGATGGCTAGGCAGGCAAGGACGGTCTGGTATATAAGGACCAGCGTGCGGGTTTGCACCGCCCTTCAAGCCTGAGTAGTTAATGGTCCCGCCATTCGGGGCAGCGACGGGCACTGCCAGGGCGCCTGAGACCATGGCGAGAATGGTAAGAGTGAAGAACTTCATATTGAATGAGAGACTTGAGGTGAGCTAAAGAAAAGAATGAATGGGTGTGAAGTGATGCTATGTAGAGAAAAGAATGGTGACAAATGGGAATTAAATAGCTTTTCTAACGTCGTATCGCTCTAAGATGACAGCGGGACCGTTGAACCTTATAAGGCTTGACAGTTATGCGTGTGGTCTCGGGAACGAGATATTGAGTTTTGATGTATTCATATTACTGGTCATGTCTCGAAAGTCTAACTCAACTCAACGGTTACAAGTGCCGAAGTTCATAGCAACGTCTGTGCTTCGTATTTAGTCCAGTAATAGCTACCAGCGTGGCCTCAAGTTGTATGGTCTGATTATCTATTAAATACTCCATTACTCTATTAACTTTCAATATCAACTATCTCCACTCCATGTTCCTGCTGAATTATCTCCCGACTCGTCGTAAGCATCTGAAGGTTCTCGCAAATGCCCTCTGTCGGTGAGCCCAATTTCTTCATCAACCGCAGCGCAGGAAGCCGAATACTCAAATCAGGGCACTTCATTATTGTAAAGAAGAGCATTGGAGTATATGCAAGTTCGAAGCTGGACTGTTTGGAGGACCGTTCACTCTGCCAGCTCGCTAGTTGCAGCACCTGGCGAAATGTCCCCATGTGCTCTTCATATCGGAAGTCGGCACTTAACTCGAGGTAAGAAAGTTTGAGACGCATAAAGAGTGACCTCTCCTGAGCTTGGTATAGTAAAGAGGTGGTATCGACTTCGAGCTTTTCGAATAGCGTTTGCCAGGTCTGAAGATGAGCGCCGACGGTGTTGTACTCTTCTGTCATGTCGAAAACGACGCCGCGATGTCTCATGTGGCAAAGTCGTACCACTCGGTTAAAGATATCGTCCATCATGTATTGCGCGTCTTCCATGCAATAAAATTTGGTTGGAATCATATAAGTCAAAGCCGGCATGCTCTCGCTCTCAATGTCCTCCGGGCCAAAAAGCATGGGCACAGCGGTCATGCGTCTAAAGACAGGCATTAAGTACCGTCGAGCCCAAGGATTGCTGCACTTTTCCATGATTGCGAGGCCATGTTGGCAATGTTGCAGTGCAATCTTGTTATTTGCTAGCAAGTACTCCACACAGATGAACAAGATGCAAACGAGCAACACAAGAGGTTCACTGTGAATCGTCTTGAGACGCTGAATGGCCTTTGTATAGTGCTGCAGAGCGAATCTCTCCGTGTTTGGCGCCACACTCTTCCCCTCCGACGATTCAAACAACGAGCTTATCGATAAGATGGTATGTTTCACGACGGCCTCTGACTCGCTGAGCTGCATCACAAGATGGGTCCAGAAGTAGCCATCCCTAGCGCTCGACAAACGCGGCGAAATGACACTGTGAAAATACCCAAGCGCCCTCCGTTCCTCGACTGGGAGCAAGGCTTGCGGATCGATGGTAGAGACACGCGGCAAAAGCATCCGGCCATGCGCCAAATCTCGTGGGTTGATCTTCTGCATAAGCGCGTAGCCGTCGCATTTCCGACCAGTGCTTGTGCAGCGATGACAAGCGGGCTTTTTCTCATC